TACCGTCTTCCGTTCACATGGAAAATCCTTTGGTGCGCACGCGCGTTTCGCCTCTACCGTTAACTCCTCCTTCGTCGCGCAACCGTATTGTATTATGTACACTGAAAAATTGACATCGGGGCCGGGGGTTTGTCTGGAGTAGGGCTTGTTACGCACATATTTTCGAATTATTTTCGGTTTTTGAACATAGAAATTTTAAACTATTTCTACGAAAAGATCAAAATTCTTCTAATGCCCCAGCAGTTGATATCAGAATTTCGCTAATCACCATAATCTTAATCGGGATTTTTATATCCGTGAAATTTTAATGATTTGGAAACTAAAATTTACGCTCACGTCGACCGTGCTCAGGTGAGATTAATTAACGTTTGATGACAATTTTTTGCCTCAAAAAAAAAAAAAAAAAACATTCATTATTGCTCAATAGATAATAATATTTTAGCAATATTACTCAGGATTACATTTTTTTTCGGTTTTAGCAGTATTCTATTTTTTTCTTCTAATGTATTTTTTATCAATCAAATCAACTCTGACATTAAAAGCCGTAGTTGGCAAAACGAAATAATACATTTATCGTTATAAATTCATTAAAATTTTACCCAACAAATACTAAAGACAAATTATAGAAAGTCGACACGCGAGCAGGTTGATGTACCCACATAAAACAATCCGACCTTTCGGCGGTGTTGGTTTCGGATTTCGTGTTGGACTTATTAGGTTTTTTTTCGTCCTTGGTCATATGTCGACAATATTGTGCGTAATAATTGCGCGTATCGTTTGATCCATCGTTCGTTTTTACTGCACGTTCCGCCGACGAACTGTGTTTTTTTATTCAAATGCTGACTCACTGTTTCAGCAACGAGAAAAGAGTCAGCGGCATACTACATATCGCAACACTATGTGCAACAGTGTATTTTCTCTCGGTTAGTTTAGTTACATTAATAATAATAATTATTATTATGACTCCGTCAGGTATACGAGACTAAAATGACGTGGTGCGCACAAGACTGATTTTGCGAGATTTATTTTCGATTTATTTATTTTTATTAATTTTTTTCTTCCTCGTTTTATAATGCACGTGTAGTTTTTTTCGCGATCCTCTGTCGCTTCTTTTGAAATACGATCGAATAGCATTGCGATCCGTGTTTATATTACGTACCCCGTCCGAGAGTTGGCAGTAGAGAGAATTTAACAGAAAAAAAAAAGGAAAAAAAATATCTAAGAAGATAGTCGTCTTGTACATAAAAACGCCATTGCGTCGTCGTCGTGTTTGATATTATGATGACGATAATCGTACAATATTATTAAATTATGTTTTTTCCTTTCACAAAGGATCGGCGGCGGCGGCGATGATGTGCTTAGCTAAGCATTCCGCTCGTGTCGCTACCGCATACCCAAATCTGCCGCATATATAGTTATATTATAACGTAGTCGTGTACTCTACGCACCACGGCCCCGCGGAGAGGTGACGTTGTGATCCGCCCACGGATTCGTTCTGGGAAACCGGCGGCTGTGCGACGCGAACGTTGTTTACACACTTCGCTGCTTACGCTTTATAGTGAACGACATTATTGTATAATAATAAGTAGTTATGTTGTTCTTTTGTGAAATGTGTATTAGTTCGTTCGAAAATACCAACCGGAGATACGTTTTTCGTTTCAATTTTTAAAGCCGTCCCCTCAGAGGAGGAGATATATTATTACCGTTATTTTCGCCGTGCTAAGAGCAGCACAATGCTACGGTGGAGCGATTATAAATATTTTCACATTTTCTATTGATAACGTCACATAATATCTGATGTCTATTGACATTAAATTGACCCCCGGGTTTATAATGTGCATCGCGTTCGGTACTTGATGACGACCGAGTTCAATGTGAATGAATCATCGTTGAACCAGTCGTATTTGTTGTCAACTACGTTTTATTTATTTTGACTATTTCGTGTTGATGTTTCCGATTCTATACCTACACGCGTCCACCAGATTTCGAATTTTTTGTACATCATTGTTTTTCGTACTCGATGTTTATTTTCCTGGTCGTAGAGAGGAAAAATAAATGATTTAAAATTAACCGACCGTTAACATAGCCTCCTTTACCCCTTTCCACCAGCTGTACATGAACAATAGACGAACCTTGTTAGACTCGAAAAAGCGAACCGTCGCATTTATTCCACCCACAGGGTGATACACTTACGCCTCGCAGGTGCCCACCAGCATGCGTGTATAATCTTCAGAGTGTGATTCCTCTTGCGGGCGAACCGTCGCGTCCGTCATTCAGAGCGCGCACGCGTTTCACCGATAAAAACAACCGTTAGTTTTTCCTCGTCCGTTTCCATTAATTTGCAATACTAATTTATCTTCCATCATATTGTTTTAGTGTAACCGTTGTTTTTACTCAGTGCCAATATGTGTCGTTTCTTGTGTGCGATTTCGACCGGCACATTTTTTTCTCCAATCGATTTGACGAGTTTACGATAAAATTTTGTGGATATTAGTGTTGTAGAGTAAATTGGTTAAAAATCGTAATATTTTATTTAAGAATAATAAGTGAGGGAAAACGTATATTTCAGAAGATAATAACAAAAACACGTTTTAACTATCATGAAACTTTCCTTGTTTTGTACATATTACCCAAATCTATAAGCCGTGTTAAGTCTTATAAATATTTGTTTGCCTTCATCTTAATATCTAAAAATTCATAGACATCGGTGAATGTCTCTTATGTGACACTGTCGTTGTTTTCAGATATATTTTGTCGATTTTATTTTAATCCTTTGTCACTAGAACAATTTTATTTTATTAGTTCGTGCCGTAACACACAATTCAACAGGTCTTGTAATTCCAAGTAGTTTTTGATTGTGTTGATGTAGTTGAGAACATAAACATTACTATTTATTTATATTTTATATATATTATTTTCATATATATATATATATATATATATATGTTTTTTAAGACCGTCCGTGAAAAACAAACTAGTTGTGTTTATAATACGTGAGCACAACGGCAGCAGCGTATATGACAAGGACAATGTTATTATTAAACATGTTCGTTTTGGGAATAATATTTATTATAATATCATTATGTTCTCTATATAGTATGACACGTAATCTCGTGTCATTGAAAACTGGAGCGTTTTTTCGCACTGTTATCGATAAAGGGACGTTTTATTTTGATTGTTTGTGTAAAAAAAAAATAAAGAAAAACACCTTAAATTATTACCGAAAATCCGTTGGTGCACTGATATCATCTAATGTAATCCGATACTTCGGAGGTATATTATCCTTACCTTGAACGAAAACGTTGATTAGCTTTGATTATTATAAGGTATCGGTTTTCCGTGTTGATTTTATATTATGTGTAAATTGTGATATATATTTGTATAATACGACGCCGGTGTTCGGTTAAATCCTTCTTTTTTTTTTTTTTTGATTTCCTCTGGAATTTGTCGTACACAATTTATCGAGCACTATTTTAGCACATACGATCACGTACGATCAAACACCGTCCGAGTATGTACGACGAAGCTAAAGATCACGTTTGTTATTAAAATTTCAAATTTTTTCACAGTTTGAAGCGCATTAACTTAGGAAATTCTACAAAGTACACATAGTTCCTATAGTTAGCCATGGTTATTCGATTATTATGAGAATATTTATTTATACGGTTATTCCTATTTTTTCCCTGTTATTTCTCCATAACTAAACGGTATTAAAAATTAAAATGTTATAATTTATAGTAATGATAATGTAGCTTATGCTTATTTAAGTGTTCTAAATATTTTATTGCACATCTAGAATTTTAAAATTAATTTATTAGTCTTATATTATAGTCACTCGAGTGTAGAAAGATTTAATCATAAAATGTCATCTTCTAACATATTTCCGTTCAAAATCTATCTTGTCACTTATTTTATGCATTTAGATTTAAAAAAAATTTTCGGTATCGTGTCTACTTGTTGTGGAACTAAGGCGGGGTCAATTAGGTAGTGACTCCATGGCTTTTTTTCCTTTAAATTTTCCTTATTTATTATTTAAATCACATTAAAAAATACATAAATAGTGAATCCATGTATGAAGTCCGCACTTGTCGGACTTATAGTTTTAAGGTCTGGAATTCCCCCTGGTCCCAAATATAGGTTGTTATATATTCGCTCGGGACGCTAAGGTTAAACAAGTTATGTTGTGTTTTTTTTTTTTATCTAAGAATTCAATTTCAAGTAATAAAGGATTAATGGGTTAAAACATTTTTGTGTCTTAATATATTATATGATTATATCAAAGGATCACCCTCCCCCCAAAAAAAAAAAAAAAATTCTAAAATCCGCCACTGGTGGATCGTGCAGCTTTTGACTTATACCACTGCGCGTTATTCCAAGTCATTCGGTCAAAGATCCATTTTTTTTTACCAATGCCCCCAAAGTATTTACGTCGTGTGAAGTTTTCAAATGGTTTCGAACGGTGTAGCGACTACGTTTTGACGTATTTTTAAATGCGAGCGGACTCTCTGATATCCCTTGCAAATCGTTATACAACGACGACACAGCTTTCGTCAAGTGTACGATCAGTCGACCGCTGCCGCCGTAACAATAACAATAATAATATTTCATTAAAGAGAAGCATGTGCCCTCCCCATCACCATTTTCCGCCGTCCGCCCGCTATCGGGTGTGTATAATCTGTTATAACGTATTATGATGCTCTGCCAAGGCTGAACGTGCCGCCCGGTGAAAACACCGGCAAGGCCACATCGCAACACTGCAACACGTTTCGGGCCGTATGCTGGCCAGTAAAGTTACCGTCGGAGACTGGTCAGTACCTCTGGGCTGTCCCTCTCTCTCGCTCTGTCGTGCCCTCCCTCTCCCTCGCTCACTCTTCTCTGGAATCTGCGTGTTTATGTATATATTACAAACCGTGCCAGTCGTTAATTGTAGTACTCGTACTTAACTCATCGCCGCAATGTATTATTCATCTTCTGATCGTCGTGCTTTATTTTCCACGCAGCTCTTCCATGTACCCGAGAAGTAACGGAGCCGGCTTGTACTCGGCAACGCTGCAGCAGTACTTCACTTCCTCGCCCGAACTCGTGGCCCAGCAGCAGACCACAAATAATATTATCACGTCCGTTGCCGGCAACCACATGTGGTCCACAGGTAAGATACTCTTCTTCACCTCTTACTCCGCCATCTCCTCCGCATACGTTCTAAACGTATCGCTGTGTCCAAACTTTTCCTATTTTTTCGACCACTGTTGTTATTATCGATAAATCTATAAATCGAACATGTTTTTTCTCCTGTAGTCGTTTCCGATGACGGTACCGAAGTGTATTCGCCAACATCGTCCGGTGGTGGCGGCGGCGGCGGCGGCGGCGGCGGCGGCAGTGGCTCCAAACAGCAACAGCAGCAGCAGCAGCAGCAACAACAGCAACAGCAACAGCAGTCTGGACACAACGGCGGCGGCGGGCTACCGGCTTTCGGGCAACGTTTCGTCACGCACACGTCATCCGCGTACACGTCGCCCGGTACGTCGCGCTCGTCCGCGTCCTACCACCCGATCGCCACCTCCGGCGTTGTGCCGTATCACTTGGCTCCCGCGGCCGTCGTCAACAACGCCAGCGGTTCGTCGGATCCCTCTACGCTGCAGTGGGCCACGACCGCGACCGTTGCGACCCACGGGTACCCGAATACCGACGGTTCCATAAACTACGTTCCAATAGCCAACAACCAGACGAGCAGGAGCCGGTCGAATGCCACGTTCTCCGCGGCCGCGTCCCTCCACGCCTGTAAGTACCGATGTAATTGCAAACAATATAATATATACCTGTACGTCGTCTTATACTGTCCCATTGTTGTCTAATGAACAGCAAACAACACGTTTTACTGATGCAGCTTTTTATTCACTGCCGTTTCTGTTTTATTCAAAATTATTATTATCAGGGCTTGTGATTTGCGAAATTAGCATATTTATTTTGAAAATTCCTAGAGATTCTGAATAAGTTTTAACATCTGTTTCGGATATAACTGTTGGAATGTAAAACTGAAATACAAGATATTTTTTTACATAATATTTTTCCGTTCTTCAAATTTTAAATGCTATTACACTCGTATAATAACATTTCAAAGTAGGAAAATTAAATAGTACTTAAAATATTAAACAATCAAAGTAGCAATTATACTTTTCATTTACTTTTTCACTTTCTATGTAATTTTTTTTTGCGTATTTTTACATTATTAGTGCAAATCTATGTTTATCATGATCATCTTTTTTTGAATTACAAGTTACGAGCCCTTTTAATCAAATACGTGTCACCGATGATTATATTTTGTATATAATACCCACCAATATGTTTTCAATACGTACAAACGTTGTGTTGTCCGGTTTCACGGAAAATCGTGCTAAAACCCACTCGGTGACTAAATTATCTCATATCGTCGAGTAAGATTAGGTTCTACTTTTATACTACGAACATCATGCGTTTGCACTCAGTAAATACATCGATTAGAATGAAATTCGATGCACTTAGGCATTACTTTTCATCCTATATTTTTTAAAATAAAGAAGTATGTACTCGGAGTAGTTAAAAATATTAAATTTGTTAGAATTCTGAATGGTTTTGTTGTATTATGTCGGCTTTATTGTCTATAGCATATTCTATGTGAGTTCTGTATTGTGTACATATATTAATACTATTGTAATCACTATTTTAATAACTATTTTAATAACTGTTCCGAAAATATTAGTTTGTATAATTTTCTAATTGTATTGGTTCGAATAGAACTCGCAACCTCCCGATTACTGGATTTGTTTAATACACATATATAATTTGTATATTATACTCCTATACTCGATTTCATCTGCAAGACTGGCAGGTCTCATCGGTGTGAACTTCACTGGATTTTGCGCTAGTGTGTGTGTGTGTGTGTGTGTGTGTGTGTGTGTGTGTGTCCTAACCCCCGATACGTGTAGTCGTGTGAGCGCGTGTTGTGTTCATTCGGGTCGTTTTTTTCGGCCTAAGAGAAAAATAAAAGTAAAGTCGGCATGCACGTTCGAGAAACAAACCCCCTGTGGTGGCGGTGGACCAACCGATTAATAGGTATCTTTTTCGAGGTTCGCGGCCACCCAAAGTGATGTGATGCCTTTGCGCTGGACCGTCGTGTGTACGAGTTTACATAAAAGAGTACAAAAACAATGTGTGAGTCCGAAAATGGGGAACCATGCAGCAGTCTCCGTTTACACACATGATACGATTATAATATCTGTTGGCCATTAATTAAACGCTGGTTTAGGACATATACCGCATTCTTTGCCCGATTACCCGGTCACACACATACACTCGCACATATTTAATACTATACAATGGTGGTCGTGTACAACATGTGTTCGCGAACCTATAGGGTTCTTGCCTATTTTTGTTGTCATTATTGTTATTATTATTATTGTAACGATATAATGTATACAACCCGCAGTAAATACTCGTAAATATTGATCACACACACCCAACCCATTTCGTCCAAGCGAATTGTGCGTGCCAATATGTTTTGGGTCCCTACGTGTGCTTCGAACGTCCCCTTGTCCAAATATCGTTCGACTCCTCGTTGATTGATGTCGTTGCGCGTTCTCGTCCAGCCGTTTAGGAAAAAACGTGTGCACATAACCGTGACAACTTCCACTATTATGCAGTTATCACTATTGTCTACGACTACGTCAGTACCCCCTCCCCCCGGGAGGTATTTGTCCTTTTTTTTCTTCTATTTGATGATCGTATCCAGATTCTAAACATACGTTGATCTCCATATTATTTTCGTGAGAAATGTTCTGCTTCGAGACATTTTAACGAACGATTTAATATTATTTACATATCACATCGCACGGTCACACTTCGTATTTAAATTTTTCGAATAAGTTATTATATTCGGTTGATATATAAAAAAAAAAACCGTAACAAAACAGTTGCCTGTTAGTATATTTGTTTTAAATAACTAATCGAAGATTGACTCGTCAGGATTTATTTCATCACATATAAATAAACGGACATATTGTAATTTTCAAATGCACTCGCATATATTTATATAGAACGCGGACGAGGCTGATCATCGTTACTCATCTGTACACATGATGACACATTTGTACTACAATAATTATTGATTTATGTAAATCAGAAAGTATATCCGTTATTTTAAATTATTATATTTTCTAATTCCCAATCATTTAGTAATGTTATATATATATATGTATATATATATATTTATAAAACCCGTTGTAGTAAACAACAAATATTTATTTTAATTTTCTTTTTTCGTTTGTGGAGAGTAAAACAGTAAAATAAAACTAGGTTAGGTTACTATTTCGTTATCGTCTACGATTTCCGTTAAAAATAATGTATTAATATATATATATATATATATATATATACATATTTTTTTGTATTCGTTTCATTTGTTTATCACAAATTTGTTTCTCCCTCGATAACCGTTGTGCGTAAGTCCAAACTACACACGGAAAACGGAAGCTTGTTATCACTAGCGACTTTATACGCCATGTCGAAAACGAAAATTATACATGCACCGAACAGGATCAATAGCCTCGTACATAATATTATAATAAAGTATATAGATCCCCTACTGAAACAACTGCAGTAGTAAACCATATATACTTAATAATTGTTACAATGTACTAAAAAAAAAAAAATACGTTCCTACTTACGGTTTTTTTTTTTTTTAGTTAGCTATTTTTTCTTATGTTTGTTAATCGCAATTGCGTGCTATTTTTCATTGTCGTTGTACTAATCGAACGTTGTTTTGTCACGTAGTGATTTGGACACATATTTCAGACTCTTGGGCGTGTTTTAAAACTGTCTGAAACCAATTAATTAAATTTATAATTTTAGTTATTTGTAAGAATATTCTATTCTATTATGCAAATACCTACAGCTCACATGTATTATTTCGTTTACGCTAAAATCTTAGTTAAAAAAAAAAAATTGATTTAAAACGTACACAGTGGAAACGTGTGTATCGGATTCTTTTTTTGTTTTGCGTTTTGTTTTACATGCTATTAATACCGCCCACCTATTTATATCTATGTTGCTCTAAGATAACCGTTTGGATGATGGGTAGTTGACGGGGTACGTCTTGATTGTAATCGATCCATCGATACGTTGTTGCTGTTTATCAGGTCTTACTGGTAGATAGGTCCACCGCCGGAGAAGGGTCGTGACATGAGCTAGAAATATTGTTGACATTGACGCGGCTTGTTGACCTCGAGGGTATTGTATATGATACATACGCATATACACTAACACACATTTAGACACACTCCCGGAAAACGTAAACGGCGGGCGGAAAGGATAATAGTGAGATAATATCAGGCCTTCAATATAAAATCCTCTATTAGTCCTTTTCGCCCCTTTTAATATTTGCCTTTCGGACCACCTCATCAAATATTTATCGAATCACCAACTCGTTAATGTGTGTCTCCGGCGCTAAAACACCACCCGCGAGTGCAATGCAAAGGGAACACTCCGCAGGCAATCGATTAGTATTCAAAACAATGCACACATATGTTGTCTCACGTTTACGACCATTCTCCTTAACCGCGTTATATAATTTTATTCTCTTCTACCATGTAGGTATTATGTAAAGGCCATAAAAACCACACGAATTTATTTGTATGTGTGGTCGGTCTCTGCGTTCAAGTCAGTTTATTTCACTTTATTTTCAATTAAAATTTTAGATAAACGGTAGTGCGGGAATTAAAAATAAAACAAATATTAAAATATATTAATTTATGTTGTGTATACGCGCGCGTATGTGTGTATAATATGTATTTACGTGTAGACATATTTCGTCGGATAGCTCAATAAATGTGCACGCATATATGAATAAATAGTTAACATTGTAGGTATGGAATTAAGCCAAGTTCAATTTACCTTTTATTTAAGTCAATTCCAAATTGAATTGTTTGAAAATTTAGCGAGATACGTACCTTTGAATTTCAAAACGACAAAGTGGGCCTTTTTTTTTACGAAATTTCAAATGGTCATATCTCTGCAGTTATCATAGTGGCAGCTTAGATCCAAGTCGGTTCGAATGAAGGAAAGATAGAAATACATTGAGCTGTCAAAAACTGAAATAAGATTTTTTTTTTTTAATTTGTCCATCTCAAAAAATAAAATTGACAAGATATGGGAACTTTTCTTATATACGTACACAAATATTGATAATTTTCGAGTTAGATGCCTTCAACTTTTTATACGGCGACGTTTCCATCCACGGTAGTTAGAATTCGAAAAGACATAAATGACATTGTGTTGTTTTGTGCGCAGTCAACGAGATGGAAATGTTATGCGAGGGTCGGGAGTGCGTGAATTGCGGAGCGATTTCCACACCATTGTGGAGACGCGATGGCACCGGCCATTACTTGTGCAACGCGTGTGGACTTTACCACAAGATGAACGGCATGAACAGACCTTTAGTGAAACAACCCAAACGGCTGGTTAGTGTTAAAAAAAAACCCTTGTATGTGGTGTAAAATATATATATATGTAGTGTGCGTAGTAAATTAGTAAATACATCTATATATTATTACACACTTAAAAATTATGGTTTCTATATTGCGTGATACTGCCGCGTTAACGATACACATAGCGATTAATGTGCATGTATGATGAGCTTGTCCGCTATCTATACAATTATTTTTTGTCCCTTGTATTGGGTATATTATGTGCGATATAGATAAAATAAATAAACAATGAATAGCTTAAAACTGTATGTGAAATAATATTAGATAGTGACGTCGTTGTTATACACATTGGGCACTGGACTCGCGTACATTTAGGTACGGCTCTCCAGGTAAGTGATTATAACAGTGTTTCAGGATCATCACTTCTTCCCCTCTGAAAGGAGAGCTCTTGTAGAAATCCTTGGTTACCAGCCGTCGGGGTTTTTCGTTTTCGAGTTAACAGTTATTTGTTTTTTTTTTTTTTTTTTTTTTAATTTTTTGTTTTACATATTCCTCGTGATCCTCCATCCTCGTCGTTCTATTTCGGTTGTCATCATTCAAATTAAATAGAATCATTTAAAAATAAACTAAATTGTAACATTTGTTTATTGTTCTAGTGGCGGCTACCGGCCCAAGTTCGTCCGGTTCTGGGGATTTCTATAAGGGTCCTCTGTTTCATATGCCCGCAAGTTTTACCAGACCTTCCGGAGCAAGTGGACTAGAAGAGAAAACTACTAGAAGAATGGTACGTATTTTTAACAAATGATGTAATTGTCAACGAACGACGGATTGGTGGATTGTAGATAGACGTCTCTAGCGAATAAAAAAATTTCCAGCAATTTCATTTTCAATAACTGTTTGCACGAGTTTAACAATCAAAATAACAATTTACTTGATAACTGCTTTACATTATTATCAAGACTTCGAAGGCATTCATGTTGATTATTTATTACGTTGATATGATGGTTTACTAATATATCGTAACACAGATATGGTATATTAATCTGCATGCAATTCATTCATAAACACGCCCCGAGCTCTTCCGGTCTGTATATAATTATAGACCTCTCTCCCTGGTGGCTAGACGCTTCTTATTTGCATGTTTTGAATTTTCCTTAACATTCATTTCAATGCCGTTTACATTAACTGATCATAATCTCAAATACCATTGCATACTGATGTGTACTATAACCACCCTGTACATTTTGTATTGTATAGCAAAACGCGTCTAGGCGTCAAGGACTGCATTGTACAAATTGTTCGACGTCCACCACGTCATTGTGGCGCAGAAATCAAGTGGGTGAACCAGTGTGTAATGCCTGTGGTCTGTACTATAAGTTACATAGCGTCAAGAGACCACTTACAATGAAAAAGGACTCTATTCAGGTAATTTTTAAATATATTATTTTTGTTGTTTTATATGTAATAGGTATAGGATTTACGCACTTTAATATAGTGGAATAAGATACTGTTGAATCTCAATTTCGTCAGTAACCTTTATAAAATTCAATTTTAGCGTCTTGATTATCATTTTAAACTAAATTTTATATTTTCAGACAAGAAAACGTAAGCCTAAGAGTGGAACTAAAATTGACCCAGAACCTAAGAGGATCAAACAAGAAATACGTAAGTTAAATTGTATTTTAGTCGTCCTAATTTGAATATTGTAATTATATGACATAATGATAAGATTATTGATGATTTTATTTATAAATCAATATGCATTAAAAATTACATTATTTTTATTAATCCCATGATAATGCATTTGATATCTATGCAGTTATGGCTACAAATATGATAATAACAAAATTTATATTTTGTTATTAAACATGATTATAATAATAAATGGTGTGTGTTCTGAAAATAATTATTACTGTTACTATGAAAGGTTTTTTTAAATCGGTTGCAGTATTTGCACACTATTTGATCGTAAAATATATGCATGTAAATTATCACTTAATCGTGTGAATATGAATTCAGATATTAAAGATAACTAGGTTTAATTTTTTTTATTCAATATTCATATTGTGCAAGTTTTCTGTTTTTGTAAATTACACATTTTAATTAGTCTATTAAATTAAATATTATTTTAAATTCATATTATAGCAACTTTTTCATTTATTACTACAAGTATAAACCTAAAAACTAAAAATATTACAATTTATTATAATAGTTGGATTCAATTAATACTTTTAAATATGTTAATATAATTGATAATAACTGTTAATGTCATATTTATTTATTGAAATTATATAATTTTCCAGGGTTTTGGAATGATTATAGTGTTTTTGATAATTTATTCAGTCCTAAGTTTATCATTATATTTCATATTTTTAATTTTTTTATCAAATTTTTTTGTATTTTTGGGTCTGAAATTTTAATATAATTATGAGTTACTGGTAGTTACACTAGGCTTATGATGAAATACAATTAAACATTCATAAATATTTTACGTGCATTAAGTTTCTAGTGTTCTAGTAACAAATATTTAATTAATTTTTTATATTTAATATAAAATACTTATTTGATTTTTTTTTCTTTATAGCATCTGAACACAACTATAGTGATTGCCATCGTACTTCGGGCAGCATTTTAAATCATGGCAGTGCTAGTTATACCAACTTGTATCAGACAGCCACACATATAACCCCATACTACGATGTTATAAAGTCGGAACCATCGCAAGAGTCTATTAACAGTCCACATATAGTAAGCCTTGCATCTGCCAGTAACAACAACAACAATAATAATAACAACAATAACACAAGCAACAAAGATAGACCTAGTGTCTTATCAATGTCTGTAATTTCCTAAATATTAAGAAAATCTCTCCTTGACTATTCTTTAGTGTTATTAACTTTGTTGGTTTAAATTTTATTATTATATCTATATATCATTAACGAACAAATGAAAAAAAAAATATTTTATGTTATTATTATTATTATTATTCTATTATTATTTTTATTATTATTTACATTATTTACTTAATAAATTTGTTTTAATTTACATTACTAATTGAAATGTAGAACATTTTTGAAGACATTAAATTTTAATTAAGAGTTAATTTTTTTCATAAAGCAAAGGCTGCATTATAGTTAAAGAAAATTTGTATTGGACCCTTAATATTGTTAAGCTCATATAATTATTTCTAATTTATCACAAGTACAATGTTTTGTTTAATGTTTAGTTGAATCTTTTTAAAACACTGATTTGTTAAGTAGCATTTATCGTGTTGTATATACTTACTTGTAAGTACTTAATTTATTGTACATATTACGTACTTAATTTGTTTATATTAATATCAGTTACTTCATGAAAGATTTATTTATATACTCTTAAGTTTACGTTTGATATAATGTTTATAGATAAAGAAAAAAAAAAATTGTAATATTTTGATGTGTGATACTTGTAATTCAAAAATTATAGCATGTTAATTTTTAAATATTTGACATCATTATTATAATAGCTTAGTTGTGTTAACTTGTAATTATTTAGTTAAAGTTTCAAGCAACATTTCTTACTAATTAACATATGTTATCAATCGAATTATTTTTACACTAAGTATGTTTATAAAAAAAAATATTAAGTTCACTTGAAAGGTTTACTGAATAATTAAACAAATTATGATACAAAAATTAATAATCGCATTTTAATCATTTTAACTGCCGCCTTGGCATGTGTGAATATTATAGTTTTGGTATGCAAGAAATTTAATTTAATGTAAAATGAATAAACCTTAATAATTATAATGTGATACATTAAGTAAGTCATCAGTAATTCTTATGTTGGTCATAACACTCATAACTCATATTAGTAATTTGTTATGAATAAATTATAAATTTCATTCATTAAGTTTTTTTATTGAATGTTTTAAACTTGTCTAATTAAATTTATCATTTATCTTTTAATTTAAATAAATTATGATTGCCATTTAAAATTTTATAAATTCACGTATATTTAATTAAATTTTACTTAAAATAATATATATATATATATATTTAAAGAATAATTGAACTGTTTATACATAGTATATTTTGTTGAACCATATTTTTTGTACAATAATATGAATATTTGAATGAAGAGCAAAATACATTTGTGATTTGAGTGATCATATGTATAAAAATATTTGTTTGAATGATTTCAATGAAAGACGCTTAGTTTTTGATGGACATTTTAAACAACCATTGCGATAACAAAATGATAGGATTAATATGAAATCTTTTTGAAACGGAATCACATATTCTCAATTTTATTGTTTATTTTATTTGTTTTATTTTTTAATATTCATTTTTTGTTGTGGTCTTTCTCAGGTTTTTATTTGCATTTCATTGACTTATATGTATATAATGTGTTGAGATGAATTTTAACAGACGGAATAAATAAGTTTATGTACACATATTTTTTTTCATTTTCGAAAACTGCTCGGTGTATGAGATTTTTAAAAAAGAGTTTTTAATGAATTCATATGTCATTCTCGGCTATAGTAATCAGTGGCGTAACAAGAATTTTTTTTTGGGAGGGGTTATAAAAAATGTAACATTCAATTTTTTTTGAATTTTGTGTGTTTTTATTATAATCAATAGACAATATACATACATTAAACATTATCGAGGGGGGTTATAACCCCCTAACCCCACCCCTGGATACGCCACTTTTAATAATTAAAATATTTTCTGAATTCTATTATTATGACTTGGTATTTTTTTGTAAACACATTAATTTTACTTTTACAATTCCAACGAATTTATAATATTTATAGGTACTCGTTGGGACAGTATTCATTGTATTCGTTTTCTTTGTTACGGTAATCCGCGGAATTTCTTTCACCTCGTACTCAAATTTTGATATAGTTGAAAAAATCCGTCCGTCGAGAAAAGGTGTATTCGGTGAACAGCTACGCATTCCAAAACTACATTCTTAACGGAGTTGTGTTGATTTATTAATCTTATGTGAAGGTATTATTAGGTCTATACAGAGGCAGGTGGATTTAACTTTTTTACGGCTATAGGGCATTAAAAATTTGTCGCACTAATTATTAAATATAATAGTGCCTTTAATCTATTTGGAATTTTAAACAATTTTTTTTTCTCTTTCAGTTTTTTAGCCTACTTTGAAAAAATGTTAATGGGTGTTCACCGAATTTGAATGAAAACGTACAAAGATCATTTTTACAATTCACCGTTATTAAAAAAACATTTTTTGGACAATTAAATAAATATTACATCATGCATCGTAAATATAAAATAAAGATTTTTCTCTGTTTTTTTTTTTTTTTTATACACAATTATTCATTTCAATAAAAAATTATAAATTTTCCTGCCCTAGGCGGTTGTCTACTCTGCTTATTGAGAAATCCGTCTCTTGCTTTATATTAACTGTTCACTAGACGGCTTATCCGCGCCCTACGTACATAGTCTATTGATCTATAATTTAATGCAACGACATCATCAGTGATAAATATTATTGTGATATTATTATATTCACGTAAACCCTATGGTTCGCAGTCAGGGGCGTCATTGGGGGGGAGAAGGGTATGCACTCACACACCTTGAATATTTTTCATCTTCAATTATTAGCCATCTGTCTTGGCCTCACTAATACATGGCCTTGGCGTCTTGGCCTTAAGTTTTCCAGTCTTTAATATTGTGCATGCATCGCGGCTAATCAGTAATCAATGCTAATCATAAATGTTGGTCTGATGGTGGGAAAAAATTGGCCTCTTTAAAGGTCTATTCCCTAAAAAAGAACTGAAATGAAGCCCCTGTTTGCGGTATTCAGGAATTGTATTGGAAATCGATTCCTCCTACAGCAATATCACCACTACTATTATATTCTGCGACGCGTTTGTGTAACAGATGTTTTCTGAACACGTATTGCTCCACCTCGAAATTATTTACCGTCATCGATAATGTACGATTATTATATTATTGAATATTATTAATTTCCCAGTTGGAACTTAAAAAATTCCGCTGGTCTCTGATACAATAATCGTACGAAATATTTTTATTCCAAATCTGTTCCAAACCTTCAACAATCCAACGTTAGTGTATATACATGCACTTTCAATCAATCATTAAACTTCATACGGTGGCGTAATATGTATTTCGAACTGTGTGTAATGTAAGCGCATTTTTCATTGACTAATACTATCTATGTATATTAATTGTACTAATCTTTCATCGCATATACCGCAGTGGTCCATATGGTACCAATGAGTTTGAATCCGATTTTTAAATTAAACATTTTCGGTACTTACCTCAGGGCCACGTTAAGGGTGAGGGGGTCAAAGGTGTCAATTGCCTTTGGGCTCCACAGTTTTATAAAAGTAAAGGACGCGTCCGGACGCTCTTATCTGCACTTAATATGCTACCTGTGCCTAGTGGCCCCGAAGAAAAAAATTTGCCGAAATGTTTGACACGGCTCTGACTTGACTACTAAAATCGATTAACATCATTCATCAGTGACGTAAATAACGTATATATTTGGTTTATATATTTCTGTATTTTTATATTCTATTATAAAATTAATTAAACTATTAATTTTATAGTTTATAACGTAATAAAATTGTATGAAGATAAACGAGTAGTCAGTTCACTACATTAATCATATATGTATATATTAGACTACAGAAATAATTTTCAAAATGTAGAATTATAAATTATTTGTGGTCGCCATATCAGTTAACAGTATCTCGGTTGATAACCATGCTTAACATCCCACGCTTTTATTTTATGACTAATCTCAATTACGTAGTGATGATTTCCACTGGCGTTCAGCAATTCAGTGGTTGGTTGATTTGGTTTTTTTTTTATCGTTTTTTCGGTTTATTAAAATATTTTCAATATCATGTTTTATTAAGAAGCTATATACTAAAAAACACCCGGTTTGAAACATTAGATCAATAAGACTATTTATTTATTCTTTATTTCGGACCTATTTATTTACTGAAAACATATCTAAAATAGAACAAAAAAAATGTATAAATTACATTCTCTTTATGTTTTCTTAAAAATTAGAATAAATGCAAAAATTATCATCGAACACCAATATTATATAATATGCTTTAATATGCATTTCTTTTATTATTTACCTTAAAATAATCCTTAATTATTTAATAATTTGCTAAATTTCTGGTTAGTCAATATGTTTTGGGACAGTAACTTAACATTACGTGTTATTTTTATTTCTTATGTACATAAAAAATATCAATGATCAATAAATGATTTAAAAAATATTTTTTTCGGGTACCTGAATATTAGAATAAAAATATACTGTACTTTATATTATAGTACTTTCTCTTAGAATTTATAAAAATATTCAAAGTATGCTAAATATTCCCTGATCCATGAAATATTGTCAGGTATGCCAAAAAAATTAATTAATCATCCATATTGTTTACTTTCGTAAGACTGTATAGTCGGTAACGACATGTAAAAACATTTAAACTATACAGCGAACGCGTTACATTTTGTGGAATCCTGTAGAAAAAGTGAACGCGAGAAAAAATATGTAATTCTTTGTGTAACTTACGACGACTGGTATAGACAATTTTAACATGGTATATATGAAAATGTTTTAATTTTAAAACAATAGCAAAGTGTAATTTTTAAATTACTTTCTTAAGTAAAGAAATATGAATCGAAATTATAATAAAAGTAGAAAGTCTTAGAACAAAATGAAAAGTTGAACATGTACTCTTCACCAGAATAGTTTGTTGTATTACATACGAATATAAGGCATATTGAAAAAGTTAAAATAACTTTACTATTTTATTCCGTTGTTAACCCTTACTAACATTCTAAACAGTGGCGTAATTGTGGGGGTGGCAAGGGGGGGCAAGTGCCCTCTCTGACCATTTTTTGAGAGATAAAGGTATAATTCCTCCCCCCCCCCCAGATAATCCAACAGTACAAA